ATATAACTCATATATTAATGACAAGGGTAATTAAGTAATTTGTCATTTATGTAACTCCCAAATCATTAATTGGGAGTTACAAATATAAAAATCTCAATAGTTGATGATTACGTAATATTGATATTTTTTTATACGTGTTCATGTTTTGTAATTTCGATTTATTTTATCCATAATGATATTGATTTTGTAATTGTTAAAAAATTTTCAATTGTAAAGATTTCGATATCGTCCGAGTAATATGGATAAACCTATTCGAAAACAGATCGACAACAATGAGAATGAAAAGGTTAAAAYCGTCTACGACTACAATCGGAATTCGAATTCATATGTAATTGTTAAAGAATTGTTCACAAGTGTTCATATTGTGTTCATATATACACTAGCTGCATATCTCAACATTGGTTTGCTCTTGAATGTGTTCATAATGAAAGAACTATTGTTCACAAACTGTTCATATTGTGTTCATATGTATACTAGCTGCATATCTCAACGTTGGCTTGCTCCTAAATGTGTTCATAATGAAGGAACTATTGTTCACAAACTGTTCATATTGTGTTCATACCTGTTTTTTATTTATTTACTTTCGTGTAACAACTATTCTTATTATATTCATATTGTGTTCATAAATTCTATACAATCCAAGTTCATATATATGTCAATTTTTGTTCGTATTTGATACAATGATTCATATATATATATATATATGTGTGTGTGTGTGTGTGTGTGTGTGTGTGTGTTCATATGGTTCTTACAATAACAAAAATAAATTAATAAAAATAATGAGATTTTTTGATTTTGTAACTCCCAATTAATGATATGGGAGTTATATAACAAAGAAAATTACCTAAATACCCTTTTCCCCTTTGTTCACATATGTTATTTGAAATTGTAAATTTAAAAATTTAATTTTTTATAATGATTAATCACAATCCTTTATTATAAGAATCAATAGCCAAGATTGGTTAACAAAGTTAACACAAAAATCTTGGTTAATATTTGAACCAAACTCTCTCTCTCTCTCTCTATCTCTCTCTCTCTCTCTCTATATATATATATATAGGAGTGATCAAATGAAAAGCACCCTTATTTGTAAAAACCGTACAAACCATCCTCATAAGTCGATTTCATATGTTTAATCTTATGAAATTTTTTCATGAAATTGTTTAATCTTGTGAAATTGTTTCATATAATACTTTTTTTTGATGAATTTGTTTCATATATGGTTATGAAATTATTTCATATAATATTTAATAAAATTTTAATGAAACTGTTTCATGTATTTCTCTAAAATTAAAATAATGAAAATGATAATATCCATGATTAATACCCACCACAATAAAAATGGTTAATCAACCTCTCATAATTAGAAAAAAAAAATGAACAAAATGAAAAATTATGATTGGTTGAATGAGGTTTTCACGGTTTTTACAAATTGAGTGGTTTTTATTTGAACGCTCCCCTATATATATATAGGGTATATTTCTTTTACAACCTTGTGCATTTGTACAACCTTTGCAACCCAATTAATTGAGATATTTATAGAAATGATTGGAGTTCATTTATTATGATTTGAATATTTATGAAATATGAATAGAGTTTATTAATTATGATTAWTACTTTATATTAGGAAACAATTAATTGATTAAAAATTGAATGGTTGAGATGAGGGTTGTATAGGGTGTAAGAATGGCAAAGGGTATAGAATAATATCCCTCTCTCTCTCTCTCTCTCTCTATATATATATATATATATAGTTTGTTTCAAATACAACCCATCGCATTTGTACAACCAATGCAACCCAATAAATTGAGATATTTATGGAAATGATGAGAGTTCATTTATTATGATTTGAATATTTATAGAAGATAAACATGGTTCATTAATTATGATTAATAATTTATATT